CTCTCTGGAACAAAACTGGCAAGCTCATAAACATCTTTCACAATCTCTCATATTAGTGCTTGCCTATGGAGAATTGATACTTCTCCAGGGTTTTGATTTACTTTTTGTTAAGAGGCTGTGCTTTAATCCTGGGCCAGTGCCGACATGCTCCAAATCCTAAAGAAACTAGGATAGCAGATGGTGTCAGATGGCAGTGTCATTAACTGGTGTCACTTGAACTGCCATTTAATGACATTGTCTTGGCTTGAGCCTGGGACGTAATGAAGCTTTGCTCTTCGAGACCCTCCAGTTGACTTCCTGTTGAACTAACACCTCAAACTCAGTTCCATGTCAAATATGAAGGACAAGTGAGGAGCCTTCCAGCAGATACAGTGGGGCTCTCTGAGTGATGTTTGGGTACCTGTCTCTTAAATCATTCATGATCTGCTCTAAGACCTCAGACAGAGATCACATGTACCAGGGAAAATCTTCTGGATGCACTTGATAGCTTGATGCTTTTCTTTCCACATAGTGAAAGAAAGAAGGAAACAATAAAAATTCTTCAAAAAGTAAATAACATTATGACAGGTTATAATATTGTAATACTTAAGTGGTATGTTATGGCTTTCTGAATCATTAAACCTTGAGGTATTTATGTGCACTAACAGAAAAGTCCCTCACAGAAAGAAAAATGCTGAAGAACATTACCATATTATTGAACACACCAGGGACAGTTTTATTTCCCGGAAAAGGCCACTGTATGTGAAAAAGTAACATCAAGAAAATGTATTTGTAATGATGCTAGAGTAGTAATAGCTAGGGCAGCTATACTTTTCCGCTACCAGCTGAGTAACATTCTGCATTTATATCGTGAAGAAAGCTGCAGGACAGGCTTACAAGATTGGATGTATCTTCATTTTATTAATGGAAAAATTGAACACAGGATTATTATTTTTTTTTTTTTTGAAAGCTCTGACAAGCTTGTGAAAAAGGGTGGGAACAGAAGTAAAATCTTTTTTCCTGTCTGGTCATCTTACATATAAAAATTTCAACATTTGTCCTTGGAGCATTAAAAGGCATTCCACCTTAGCAGTTCTTCAGTGGCTAAGGGAGAGGGGGAAGAAAAGTAAAGCTCTTTCTAATGCACAGCCCTAAGAAGGAAACAAAGATCACAGAATGATTTTCCTCTGTTTTCATAATCAAAAACCTATTTCTAATTTCTACACATGGCGCTAAGTAGTCATATTTCGGAACCATCATTCATTCCCATGGTAACATCTGCTGATATTACAAGCAGTTAATTATGTCGTTGCTGTGTGGTACACTGTGTGGTTTATTTATGGAAGGACATAAACGTTTAATGAAAGCATCTTTGAATATATGAACAAAATAAAAAACGCTGTTCCATCCCTCTGGTCTTTCCTCATGCTCTGTGCAAAGAAAACTGGGTATTAGCACATATGTGCTGAAACCTACAGAAATTCAATGCTCTTGGTAAAGAAATGCAATATCAGTATATGGTGAAGAGGAGAATTATGCCTGAGATTTTAACTGAACAAAATTACTGTTGAAAAAGGCATCATATAAAAATATACTTGGTATAATTACATTTATATGAATAGATTATAAATTACTAGGGATTCAAAACAGAATAGATGACTTCATAGCTCTTTTGATAATTTCTGAGCTGCAACATATGACATCTCTGTTACGAAGTAACTGCCCCGACTGCCATGAGGATCCCCCTTGTAAGGGAAAGAACTTGAGAAAAGATGGCCAAAAAATTCTGAATTGTTTCACTGGAAGCTGCAAAAAGAACATTCTATAATTGTTTGACAGTCTGATTTATAGTGCCAATTAAATAATTGTGGTGAATGGTCACTGGATATGCATTTTTATAAGCTTGAATTAACATTGTTTTGTTGAAAAGTGACCTCCAAATATAATGCAGTCAATACAGGAAAAAGAATATTGGTTAAGTAATAAAGTCTGAAAATAATGTTTAAAATGGCAATCTAAAAAAAAAAAAAAGTAGAGTTTTTAAAAATAAGAACCTTAAACTTCTTCAAATTTAAAAGGCAGGACTTTTTTAGACTAAAAAACTGATTTATTGAAAATTCTTAAAAATGTTGTCTAACATGTTAAAGGAATTAGTTCTGGAAGTCTGCTCAAATTTTACACAGCTGTATGTTTTTATCAATAATTTAGACAACTATTAAATGTAGGATGGCTAATTCTGCAGTTAGAGTGGTAGAAGAAAAGAGAGTACATTGCAGAGTTACCTGAATTATTCAGCTAAAAAGCCAAATGGCAAGAAGTGTATTTTAATATAATCAAATGGAAGGAACACATGCAGAAATAAACATTTCCTGATTATTCCTACAGGATAAAATCCTCAGTTTAGAAAGCTGTGATTCACCAAATTTTAAAGGTCACAATGGATTATCACCTCAACGTATCACTGTATCAAAGAGCACTAATGTGATGCTGCATTAAAAAACATTTAAAAGGAGGAATGCCACATAAGAGTAGAGAGATGACCTTCCTTTTGCTAAGTAACCACTCTGCTGAGCCCATTGCTGGTACAGCACATCCTGATCTGATTAACCCACTTCAAAAAGCATATGAAAACCTTGAAGAATTGAAAGGAAGACCACAAAAATGATCAGGTTGAAAAAGCAACACATATAAAATAAATCTTGAAGTGTCCTACCCAGCAAAGACAGTGTTGAGAGATTACTTAATCACTGCGTATAGGTAAGTTAAAGGAGGATTTTCAACCTTGCTATCAAGAATGCTACAAGAGCCAAAAGCTGGGTGCTGAAGTCAGAAAAACTCAACCTCACAGGAAGAAGTAATATCCTTGAAATTTAATGTCCCGACAGATTACAAGACAAGTGATATAACATCATTAGCTGCTCTGTGGTCTCTGAAATGAAGCAATTCTCATGGGTAAGAGATACCTGGGGGAGAATCAGACCAGGTGCAGTAGCAGCCTCTGCTAACTTTTCCTTTAACCCAGAAATGACCAGATATGCTCTGAGTTTTATTTTGTTGCCATTCCCTGAAGCCCTGAGCAGTGGAGAGACACTGGAGATAAACCTGAGGGGGTGTTCTGTGATGCTATAGAGAATCCATTTTCTTGGACAGCCTGCTGGCATGACTGCTCAGATCACTGGGATGAATGTGATGGACAGATTTCAGGTCTGAAGGAGTTTGGCGCAGGTCAGACCAGCAAGAATGCTGGTGGCTTTTTTCCTGCCTTCCCATGGATCATCTGCTGGCTGATTTGGGGGTACCTAACCTCATCAGTTTGCTACAAGTGCAGAAGCTGTGAAGGTTGGTGGTATTTCAGTCTTGTGCTGTTTATTGTGCGTAACTGTTAACCTCTATAGGATTTAAATGCATTAGTGTAACCCAAATTTACAAAGTTAATAGCCCATGATGTTGACGAGACGCGTGGGAATATTGTGAAGATGTACAGGGAGTGGGACTTAGAAGAAGAAACTAGGCTGGAAGGCTCTGAGAGCACTGCAGAGGTGCCACGATGCACCCCGTGCATCCCCGCAGCCAAAGCTGTATAGGGGGGTGGCTTTCCTTCTCCTGTGAGGCTCACAAAAGGCTCCACGATGCTCTCGGGAGACTACTGGCTCCGAATGTTTTTTGTTTCTAATATATTTGGGAGTAAGGGTTTAACAGCTGGATATTATCTCAAATCTTTTGCTCTCATTTCATGGATTCAGTGCCAAAAAACAGACTACTTCAAGAATCTTTGTTTGGTTTTATTCTAATCTCTAGTCTAGAGCAGTAGCTGGGGAAATGCTTGTACTTGAACTGATATCCCTCTTTCCTAAGGGAAAGACACTTCAGCTTTTCTTCTTGACACAGTAATTTTTCCCCCATCATTTCAGTGGCTAATAATTTATCCCTTGCACTTGCTTCTAGTCTCATCAGTGCTCATGTACCCTCAGAGAAGCAATATAATGCATCGGACTACAGCTGTTGGGGTTAGAGGTTTACATTTGGCTTTTGAAGCCTGCGATTCCAAACTTTCAAACAAACCAATATTTATAGATTTTCCTAGGCTCCTAACAGTGGCTACTAAAAAACTTACATAAAAGAAAATGAAAATACAAGTATAATATGGCTTTCACATCGGATCTTTTTGACTGGCAAACTGAGGTATATACTTAGTTCTGCCCGCTGAAATATTCACCTTTAAATTATTTTGCTTAGATTGTGATGTTGCAGGCTATAAATAAACCTTAAAATTATTGCAGTTGTGCCCTGATTTCTTACTAACAGTGCTTTTTCACATAACTAAATATACTAATTTTTGGACTTCAGTTCGAGACAGTTTAAAAATGCTGCTTTTATCAAAGCATAGCTAAGCATATTTATACCTGAATTGATTGAATCTTTTTCTTTACTTTCTCTGTCTTGGCAACATATAAGCCAAATTTTAGATTGATGTGTTTGCTGATTCTGTTCCCAATGTATTGACTCCTACCTTAATATATTTCTCCTGGTCTGAGCAAAATATTACAAACTAGCCAGCCTAAAGTAACACATTTTTACATAATGAAGGTGATCAGCATAGATTGTGCAGATGTTACATTTAATGACAGTGCATGAATTTATACAACTATCACAGCCTGCGTCAAGTATCATTCTGGGACTGCTGAACTGCAAACGGGCTTACAAAGTGAGCTGTGAGCTCCAGCACGTCTCATGCAGGACCAGAAATCTTAAGAACAGACAAAGGCCATCTGTGCTAAAATGCTTCTACTTTTTTCTTAGTATTGTCAGCGGCTAACATATCCCCAGGTTTAAAAGTATGACAGTATAAAGATATGGTGGTTGGCAGCATCTGATAGAACAACCGGGTACATCAATTCAATTTTCTTCACGACTTGTAAAATAATATGCACTGTACTACATAAATATTATTTTAGTTGTAATACAAATATGAAAAGAGTCTTCACAAAGAAGTACAGGTTAATACAGGGTACTGCACTTACCGAGATGTGTGTTCATCATTTTTGCACAATATTTGCACATGGCTTCCAAGTCGTTTAGTTGTCCTTGTAGGAATGAAATCTGGGCCTCCAATTCCTCCTCCTACAATTAAGAGATTATTAGCATTAAAAACCCCCCAACTTTCTATGATACACAGTAAAACTGGTAAGCTAACCCTTGTCATGCTTAGACATCTTCTAATTTTTCCTATTCCTTTGTTCTTGAGAAAATTCTGGCAATAAAGAGAATCACCTTCCAACTATATTTATTAAAATAATTTTGAATCCTTTTGCCATTTCATGGAAATAGAGTTTGGTTTTAATGTCTCAATGCTTACTAATACTACTCATTTTCCTTCTAAAGAGTCAAACAAAAATCTGCCTACATTGATCCAAGAGGGGTTAACCGTTCACATTTCTTTTATGGATTAGCTACCTGTTTTTGCTTGTGCAAACAGAGTACCAGAGCAATGGCTGAAAAAACTCACCAAATGAGAAAAATTCTCATTTCTGGCAGAGTAATTTCCACAGAAATTCCTTTGAAACCTCAGAAAGTTTCCTTTTTTTATTTAAAGGCATACATTTAATGAGACCTAATGCCATACTTCACGGTTGCATTACCACCATATATTTTGGCATATTTATTTATATGACACATTGTGCTCTATCTGTATAAAAAAACTTTCACTTCTATGCTCAGCTAACTGCACTTCCACACAATGTCTTCTGCAATATTTAGGTGAAAAATATTTGTGATTTACATACTATAAAGCAGTTACTCTAAATGATTAAGTTATGTTTGATAAATATGCATCAAGTGTAATTTAAAACATGAATTTTAAAGAAAAGATTCTTGATTTTAAGGTCCAGGAGAAACATTATTATCTATGCACATGCTCTGTCCAAGCAATGGGAACTACCTCAGCTAAGAATTCCTCTTTGAACTCCTTTGTTTGCTGGTTTACAAATTCATCCAGTCTTGACTTGGAAGACCATACTGCAGAGAAAGTTCACCACTCCTTTGGAAAAAATCCTTCAAAGTTTAGTCACATATTGTATTAAGCAGGTTTTGTTTGTTTGTTTATGTGATTGAATTCAACAGATAAAGGCAAACTAACTTTTTAGCCTCCTGCTTTTCTTAGGAGTTTTGCAGTTTATTTAATCATTTATCTATCTCTTGTTTGATGGAGATTGCTGAACTACAATTGAGTCTGAATTACATTTCAAATGAAAAAAATCCAAAACTGATCAGCTAGAATAAAGACAATGAATCAATTTTTATTTAAATGTACAAGTGATCTTACTCTCCATCAGAAACTGAGAGGCAGAGCCAAGCAAAAGAAACTTTACACTAACAGAAGTTTTTCCTCACCCTTACAATCTACAGACATTAAATATTTTTCTTTGCCTTTTCCTTATATTAATAAACCCTCAGCTCATTCTATTCAACCTTACTTTGATCACTTAAGCCTCAAAAGGATTGATTTTATATTGCCTATTTATAGTTGCTGAAAGACTTACATCTCTTGAAGTCTGCAGTTCTGTCACGGCCTATACAAGCCTATCTATCTGCATTGATGTTTCTATGAAGCCATGTCCCCGCAGAAGACCTTTTCCTAGTACATACAGCTAGCAATTGCAGGAAATAATCTACCACAAATTTTAAATTGCCAGCGCATGCCAAAGCGTACCTGTACAATAGGCAAAGGTGACAATATTTGAGTATTTTACTATAAAATAACATAATCAAATTCTAAAATCATTAGCCAGTTATTGAAAACCAGTTTGTCTCCTACAAGTGAGTAAGAAAATCTAACTTCTGATAATAAATACTTTCATGTTTCCCAGACTTTTTTTTCCTTATCCATGGATCAGAACTGCAGTAAATTGATCTTACAATGCTTTTGGACAGCCCTATCCACTTGGGCAGATTCTGAAACTAACCTCTTCAACTGTACAGCAGTACCTTGTCATTTGGCCAGTGGGACTGGTCCTGAGTAAACTACATCCACCGCTCTTTCAGCTCAGTAGGATCCAGCACGGGGAGCAGAAACGTTCAGCAGACCCAGCACCCACAGAGGAGGGTACTGTGGCTGGGAACTCACAGACAGTGCAAGAGTTTGCCTGCCAAGTGTGAAACCTTGCACAAGGCTGAGTGAAGGCACTTGGAGTTCCTGACTTATCTGGCACCTTCAGGAAGGGCACCAAGGAGCGCTGCCAGCAGGATGTGCAAATGAGCAAGACAGTTAACTTGGCATTTGAGACACGAGAGACCCAGATGTGCTGTTTGCATAAGAAGACAACACCCAAATGGTGATGACTTGTTACAAGACATAACCCCTGTGCCGGCTGTCACCTGCAGTGCTGTGGCAATCTCTGTGCAGATGGACCCCTGAGGGTGACCTCCCTGGAGGGAGGTTTGCTCTGTTGGAGTTGCCGCAGCAGCAGGTGAGGAGCTGCAAGAGGCAAGTGTGTTTTATCACATCGGGGGTGACAAATAGGTGATTGACAGGATCTTTCAAGGAATAAATACTTATGCAACAGACAAAGAAGGTGGAACCAAGGCAAGACAGAGTGAGAAGAAGACATGCACTCCTGTGAGGGTTGAAAATGGAAGCTTGTGACTTCTGGCAGCTGGAGGGCTGCTCAAGTGGTACAGGGCCCAGGCAGCAGAGGAGAAGACACCAATGACATGGTGATGTGATACCATGTCAGTTCAAAAGTGACTATAGGGCTCTTGAGCAAGGGTGAAAGGGATACGAATCCTGGTGGTGTTTCTCTTTAATCCTATGGCAAAAGGGAAAAGCCTTGGATAGCAGCAGATGTATCCAGTAGAGCACATATGGCTACATATTCAGTGGCACTAGCCGAGCTTCAACCATTTTGCTTGTGACACCCAATTTGGTGAGGGAAGACAACTTAGAGAACAGGTCTACCTGGCAAAGAGAGAGAAGAACACCTTTGTGAACCGACTTGCTAATCTAGTGAGAAGGACTTTGCCACGGAACAGGGACCTAATCCAGAAATACATGAGGAAGCAGCACATACGGAGGAGGTATGCAGAAGGTCCATTTGGCTGAGTAAAGAGCTTCTTAATGAACTAAAATGGGAAAAGCATATATGGAGATGGAAATGAAGAGCACATATGTGGAAACAATGACAGGAAACAAAGGACAAACACAGAATCACTGTTTGGGCATGTCCTGGTTTCAGCTGAGAGGATTGATTTTCTTCATAGTAGCTAGTGTGGGGATATGTTTTAGATTTGTGCTGGAAACAGCACGGATAATATAGAGATGTTTTTGTTCTATGGACTTATTCTTGAGCAGTGCTTACACGGGGCCAAGGCCTTTTCTGCTTCTCACGCTGCCCTGCCAGCGGGATGGCTGGGGGTGCACAAGAAGTTGGGAGGAGACACAGCCAGGACAGGTGACCCAAACTGACCAAAGGAATATTCCATACCATATGACATCATGCTCAGTTTATAAGGAGCTTGGGGGAAGGG